CCCCCTCCTCTTCCTCCCCCCCAATCACGTAAATAAGTTTTTAATAGCACTTCATTTTAAATTATTACTTCAGTCTCTAAAAACCTTAATCATCTTGCTTGTTCCTCATTGTGCTAAACCCAGTGACTCACATAAAGTAATGGTTGCTGAGACTTAATTTTTTATTTTGTCTTTAAGACCCATGTCATTGTCAACTCCATTTCCCCGGATCTTGTACTCGATAGAGGACCTCTCTCTCAAGCATTCTTGGAAAAGGCTGGGTCAAAGCTCCAGGAGGAGTTGAAGGCTGCTGGACAAGGAGTCACTGTCAGTGTGGGCACCATTCTCCAAACCAGTGGTTGTAATCTGGACTGTCACCATGTGCTTCACGTGGTGGCTCCCACGTGGAAAATTAACAACATGGACTCAATACTGGTAGGTTCCAGTTTGAAATTCTGAAGGAAATGAGCTAGCCTTGGGATTCTTCTTTCAGAATACTGTAGGTTAGACTCTGCCTGTATTTTGTCGATCACAATATCATGTTTGGGGGCAGGTTCCACAATTATGGTCATTTCCTTCAGCTGTGGCTGACTTCTCAGGGGTACTAGTTAATAATATAAATCGTTGTAGAGTTTAGTAACTATTCAGTGGGTAGGAAATGTTGGGGGGTGCTATTGAAGATTCTCTTAGGGAGAAAAGGCAGGTGAGGTCTGAGAACAGAAGACCAAGGACAAGTACATTCAGTGCTTTTCTTCATTCATCCTGGTGATGTTAGTTGGAATTTCTTTTCCCTTTCCCTTTTTTTGTCTGTAACTTTCCTTGTGTTCACTTCTATTGAAAGCAAAATAGTGTGACAGAGGCCACAGTCAAAGGTGCTGAATTCTCTTTCCTTTGGGTCTAACACCTAATTCTAGGCAAAATGTACAAGGCCATGTCTGTGTTTTTCAGGTCATGAGAGACATAATCAGAAACTGTTTGGAGATAACTGAGAAGTTGTCTTTACAATCCATTGGATTTCCAGCAATAGGAACAGGAAATTTGGGATTTCCTAAAACTGTATTTCCTGATTTAATAATTTCTGAAGTGTGGAAATTTAGTAGCAATAATCAACTGAAAGCTTTACAGGAGGTTCAATTTCTGCTGCACCCCACAGATCATGAAAATATTCAGGTACAGTCTTCATTCGTTTTTTATTAGTTTGGTAACTTCTGACTGGGATCTAAGGTTCTCAAATTTCCTCTTGAGCTAAAAAATGTTTCCTTCATCTATTTGACACATAGGAAAGATGAGAATAATTAAGTGACAAGTTTCAAGAAAAATAATTGATACTTTAAAAAATTGACAAGGAAAATTTTTAAACAAATATAGATTAAACAATCTTATTTGCTTCCTTGTATCCACTGTGGGGGGAGGTCTGGTCATGGGGCCTGAACTCTGGGCCTGGGCGCTGTTCCTCAGCTCTTCAGCTCAAGGCTAGCACTCTACCACTTGAGCCACAGCACCACTTCCGGCTTTTCCAGGACCTCAGGTGTGCAAGGCAAGCGCTCTACCACTGAGCCACCTTCCCAGCCCCAAACAATATGTTTGATAGCTACCCCCATTAGTTCCTCTCCTATTTTGAAGTGCATCCTAACTATATAAAATCTATGCCTAAAAAGTTGGTAGTTTATTTCATTTCAGTTTTTAATAAAATTGTGGTAGTTGGAGTTGAACCATGTGAGCTATACCTCCCTCCACACCTAGAAATGTGTTACAAACAAAACACTTTAATAAAATGACATAATTGCAGTATTATATCATATCTAAAATAAATATAGCAGCAATTCTTTTTATTTGATCAATTGTAAAGTCAGTGTTCAGATTGTCAATGTGTTTGAATCAGAATCAAATAAGGCCTTTAAGACTATTTTAACCAAAGTGTTTTACTTACATGTGGATCTAGATATGTCAATGCATCATATAGAAGACATACATGTTGCCCTCTCAATAAGAAAATACCAGGAAGGGACATAAATTATAATTTCTTTTCTTATTTCTGGAAATACAATAAATTACAAGAGTATTGGTGAAAAAACATTATGAGTAGTAGAGTTGAGACCAGAAATATAAGAACCAAACCCATTCATAGTCTGTCAGCCAGCTCCTATTTACTCAGTTTGAGTCTTAGATGAGCCACTCACATTATAGAAGAATCCGAGTTATGAAAGCCCTTATTTCTGTCCTTCCTGTCTTTATCATCTGGAAGAGTAGATGAAAAGTTCCATAATATTGGCAGAACTTAATAAACAGTTGAAAGCCAGAAAGCTAGAGATGACCAGGAACTGGTTATTGGACCATCTGGATTTTTAGGTCATAGATTCCTTTTCATTAGACCTACACACTATGAATTATTTGGAAGCAAGCTCCATTCCAATCAGGCAGCCAATCCACCCAAATAAAGAATGTAGTCCATTTACTTTGCCTGTGTAATTAAAGTTAATTGGTTTTTTTTGTTTTTTTTGTTTTTTTTTGTTTGTTTGTTTGTTTTGGTTCGGCATGGGGCTTGAACTCTGGGCCTGGGCACTGTCCCTCAACTCTTCAGCTCAAGGCTAGCGTTCTACCACTTGAGCCACAGTGCCATTTCTGGATTTCTGGAGGTTTATTGGAGATAAGAGTCTCACGGACTTTCCTGACTGAGCTGGCTTTGAACCGTGACCCTCAGATCTCAGCCTCCTTAGTAGCTAGGATTATAGGTATAAGCCACTGGCACCTGGTCCCGCTAACGGTTCTATGCGAAGTTTATTTTTATATGTTTTTTATTGTGAAAATACTGTACAGAGGGGTTACAGTTACATGAGCAAGGTAATGAGTACATTTCTTATCAAGCATTGTTGCCTCCTCCTTTGTTTTCCTCTACCATCCCTTCCCTCCCACTTCCCTACTCCATGCAAAGTTTTAAACAATCTCTCTCTGACTGAAATTGTGTGAGGTGCTATGAGTCATAGACCACACAGCATGTAGTATTGTTTTCCTTCCTATAAATCATAGTCCTTGGGAAGTTTAGCTTTATAAATATAAAGCACACTTAACTAGAGGCATGAGGTGTTGAGCAATTTTGAATGACTGGCTGCATGGTCTGGGATGTGAGTTCTGTAACCCAGAATGGAGCCTTCAAATCTCACTCTTATCTAGGGAACCCCAGCCTTCATCTTTCCTAAACACCGAGTACTGGGTACAACTCTAAAAAGGATTAGTTCTTCAGACACCTTTTGTAACATTGGAAATGTTATTGGTTCTTCATACATGAGATGCAAGATTTTTAAAGACAGACTTCGCTTATGTTTTCACCAAGAGGGAAAGTTATTGAAGTATTTTTAAATGGAGATTTAACAGAGGATCTAAAATGACACCCCATGGCCTCTAGATGTGCTTTGTTCAAATTACATTTTAAAAACATTTTAATCACTGGCTAGTATCTGAAAATTGAAAAAAAAAACACTTACATAAAACTCCAGATGTACAAAACCAGTGTGACTGAAGACGTGGAGAGATCTAGTGCATGCACTGGGATTCTTACCTTGAAGAGTGTGCTGTGGCTGAGTGGCAGAAGCTCTCTAGTTCTCCAAACTTAAGTCAGTCTGTACCTGTGTACTTTATCTGCATAGCTCCTGTGAATATGAGATCCTCACTCAGAAGTATCTCTCTACCCCACCTATCACTATATCTGTATCCAGATGTTACTTGTCTATTCCCAACAAATTCCTACTGCTTGTTTATAAGGAGGGAAAACAATGGTGATTTTTCAGTGTCACTACCAGGTCAAAAAGAAAAAGAAAGAAGGTCACAGATTCACTCACTATCATTGTAATACGGTTAAGAAGTTGGAAAAACTTGGACAGAGCGGAGTAAGGGGTGACATGGTCCAAAAAGAAATGTACTCATTACCTAATTTATGAAACTATAACCCCTCTATACATGACCTTTATAATAACACTAGAATAAAAAATAAATAAAAGCTCAGATGTTTAAACCTAGTACCATCAAAAAAAGAACCTATTAAGAAACTGGGTATTTTTGATAACTGTTTACCTCTAAATATGTAAGTGCATGAAGAACTGTATTCCTGATGAATTAAATTCCTTGATGAACCAAAATGTGTAACGGTGAAAACTGTGTTTGCATTCCAGGAATTTTCTGATGAATTTTCCAGAAGGAACAATGGAATTTCTAGTGACAGAGTTCCAATGGCTAAAAATACACAAGGTTCAGTAAAGCTTTTATATTGACAAATTATTTTTAGTTGCTATGTAACTATTCAGTAATAGGTAAAGGATGATCATGATTATTTTTCTGAAAAATTGAGTGACAGCATACTAAAATATGTTGTATAAACTTAAACAGGTAAGATATTGGACATGTTTATGTAAACTAGTGCAAAAGAGAAGATGGACCAAATTATATAATCTATACAGTGGGTTTTTAAGTAGTAAGTGATAACATGACATGTATTTCTGAAATAGACACATAGATACTATGCTTCTCCTGCATCAAATATAAGCTGTTAATTTTTAATTGATCCTCTTTGGAGTCTATGAGTCATTTTTCTTTTTTTCTTTTGAAATTTGGAGTTGCCTTCTTTGAGCCGAGGAGCTCAAAGCAATCTTTCTACTTCAGTTTCTCAAATAACTAGTACTACAGGCTCATCTCACCATGCCTGGCTTTACTGTGCCTTCTTAAATCAAAAAGAAGTATGTCTTCCATCAAATTTGGAACTTTTCAATTTATTACCTATACAAATATGTCTTTGAGGAGCTGTTTTTATTCCTTTCCATCTTTTTTCACCTCTCTTTTCTTCAGATTGAGTAAGTTATACCTATCTGCCTTCAAATTCACTGAGTCTTTTCTCTGTCCCCTCTGCTATTGAACTCATTCAGGGAATTTGCTTTTAATTTCAGACAGCATTTATTTTTGCCAGTCCTAGGGCCTGAATTCAAGGCCTAGGCACTGTCCCTGGGTTTTTATTTGTTCAAAGCTAGCATTCTACCCACTTGAGCCACAACACCACTTCTGACTTTTTCTGTTCATGTGGTACTGAGGAATTAAACCCAGAACTTCATGCTAGGAAATGCTAGGCAAGCACTCTACCACTGAGCCACAGTCACAGCCCTCAGACAGCACATTTTAAAGGTCTAAAATGTGCTTTTGTATCTGTTTTGTTTAGTTCCTACTTCTCTTTAAAGAGCTCCTGTCTTTCCATTCATTCATAGTCATTTCTATTCATTCAGTTGTTTGCACCAACCTCATAAGTCACTGTTAATGAAGATATTTTTGTGGGGGAGGGGGTTGGTCATAGGGCTTGAATTCTGGGCCTGGCACTGTCCCTCAGTTCTTCAGCTCAAGGCTCTACCACTTGAGCCACAGCACCACTCTGGTTTTCTGGTGGTTTATTGGAGATAAGAGTCTCACGGATATTCCTGCCTGGGCTGGCTTTAAACCATTATCCTTAGATCTCAGCCTTCTCAGTAGCTAGGATTATATGATTACAGGCATGAGCCACTGGTACCCAGCTCTTCAGACACTTTTAAAGTCTGATCATTCTAACACCTGGATCATTTTAGTTCTGTCTTTGTGCTCAAGAATTTTTTAGTCAATTTTTCTGGCTTCGTATGTGACAAACAATTTTTGGGGATATATACATACACACACACACATATGCTGGACATTTTGATACTACCTTGTAAGACTTGGGTTTCAGAATGGTACTGTTCTTGCTTGCTTATCAGGCAGACAATTTAAATTCATTCTGCAGTGTCCTCATTTTCTGAGTAGGCAGAGTCCTAAGGTCATTTCAATTGTTGAAGTCTTGGCTATTCTGCTTAGGGCCTGGCTAACACGTGCAGCTCTTGGGCAGCTAAAAACTTATTTCAGTTCTACTGCAGTTTTCAACTTACTAAGATCCTCCTCCATACTCTGGCTTGTAGAGCTTATTTTCCAGGCCCTGTGGCTATAGAGCTAGGGCTTAGTCAGAGTTCAAGCCATTTGTGGTATTGCCTCATTCATCCATTATCAGGGATAACCTTGAGTGAAGGGGAGAGAGAAAAGAAAGTGAGGAAAAGTATAGGAATGTTTCAAACAATCACATGTATTCTGCATGCCTCAGGCCCTCTGTCTCTGATTCTTTTATTATTGTTTTAGTGCTGGGGTTTGAGTCCAGAGCCTTTTGTAAGAAAAGCACCTACTCTACCAGTGAGCTACCCTCATCCCAGTTCTAGTGCTTTGTAAAATTGAAAATTGTATTGAGATAATAGTAGATTCCCATGCAGTGGTTTTATTTTTCACATTTTAATTAACATGTTAGCTGTACAGGTGGGACTTTATTATAGATGTAATGTATTTCAACATCATTTTCCCTTGATTCTCTTTTCTTCTCTCCCATTGTCCCTCATACAGCCCCACAATTACAAACATGTTCTATATATGTATCTGTGTGCATGTGTATATATATATATATATATATATGTATATGTGTGTGTGTGTATCTATGTATATACAGATCTTTTAGGTCTAAATTCTGCATATGAGAGAAAACGTTATTTTTATACTTCTGAACTTGACTTACTTCACTTAACATGATGATTACCAGTTTCATTTTTCTGAAGGTGTTTAATTTTATTCTTAATTATGGCTGAATAATTCTCATATATATATGTGTGTGTGTGTGTGTGTGTATATATATATATATATATATATATATATATATTGGCTATTGTGACCAGGGCAGCAACAAACATGGGCATGGTTCTATATAAAAACAAACAAACACTATGTCTGTATATGAAGATGTCATAATGAAACCTACTGAGAGTTGTTAATAGGGTATGGGGAAAGAAAGTGTAATACAGAGGGTTAATCTAATTAAAGTACAATATGCGTGTGAAATAATATGGTAGAACTCCTTTGTACAATTGATATTGTACACTAAAAATAGGAGATGTGCTCAAAGTCCTTATGTACTATTTAAAATGTCTTAAGGAGTATAAGTTTTCAGTGGTTCACATCTATAATCCTACCTACTGAGGAGGATGAGATTTGAAGATGACAGTTCATAGCCAACCCAGGTAGGAAAGTATGTGTGATTCTTATGTCCAATTAACCACCAAAATGCCAGAAATAGAGCTCAACTGGTAGAGCACTAGCTAGCGTTGAACAAAAAAGCTCAGGGGCAAACATCAGAGTCTGAGTTTGCCTGCACACACTCTCTCTCTTCTCCCTTTATCTCTCCCTCCCTCTCTCCCTCCCTCCCTCTCTCTCTTCCTCCTCCCTCTCTATCTTCTTGTCCTTCTCCCTCTCTCTCCCTCCCTCCCTCCCCTCCACCTCTCTCCACACACACACACACACACACACACACACACAATGTGCAAGTTTTGACTTCCTTCTTTAATTTGCCTGCTGCTGTTTATGTTTCAGTCCTTAAGCGGTAGAATCCAGGAATCCACCTCAGCCTGCCCAGGTGCCTTTATCTTCTAGTTGGTAGAAACATCCCATCACTGGAGCCCAGCATCAAAGCCGGGCTATGGGGGCTACAGGTCTCCCAGACCTGGGAAAGCCCTGTAGGAGGGGCACATGAAGCAGCCTAAGTCTTGAATCATCCTTGTTCTTGCTGATTTGGTGGTTAATTCTGAGGGAAATCTGCAATCAATTCTCCCACCCCTCCAGGTAACAGGCACCGAAGCCGGCCATACTGGCTGAACTGGGACCTGCCTTGTGGGTTTACACAACAGGCCTGAGTCAACTACTTCAGGTCAAAACCACTAACTTGCAAAGCCCATTGGAAACTATTGTATCCTCCAACCACCTTCATTCAGGACCCTACTTAGTCCCTTCACCCCTGCCCTCAGCCCTGCATGCCTCTGTCTCCTGGCTCTCAGGTCCCCAGGCATCCCTCTTCAGCTCTCCATTGAAGTTGATCTGGTTGGTTGGGATTGTTTTCTACTCTTTCTTTATTCTAATACCCTGTCACTCAGTTTCCTAACAACTGCTACTTTTTATTTTCCTCTTGGCAGATTTGTATGGAGCTGTTTCCAGCCCTAATGCAGAAATGTATGAAATGAAGATTGGCCCCATCCTCTTCCAGGTGGCCTCTGGTGACATCACCAAAGAAGAGGTAGATGTGATAGTAAATTCAACCTCAAATACGTTTGACCATAAAAAAGGTATTTCTTTTATAAATTTTTTTACTGTTATTATAAAGGTGATGTACAGAGTGGTTACAGTTATATAAGTTAGGTAAAGAGTATATATATATATATATATATATATGTCTCAGAGTGTATATATATATGAATATATATCTCAAAGAGTATATATATATGCATATATATATATGCATATATATATATATATCAAGCAATGTCACCCTTTCCCTTGCTTTCTCCCAGTTTTTCCCTCTTATCACCACCTACAAGTAATATAGTTCATTTTCAACATAGTATTTAGTGAGTACCAGTGCCACATTTGTTTGTCCTTTGTCCTCTATTTCTGTGTCTCCCATCCAAAGACAGATAAATGAACAAACAAGACAAGAAAACCAGAGACAAAGAAAAAAAATCTCATTTCCATTTCTTGGATTGCATTTTGATAAATATTAGTTTATATGGTCAGATGCATCCAGGTGTTGCACCTCTTTCTTCCTCCCCCAAGAGTATCCTTCTTTGGTCTCACTGAGTGAGAATGCCTAGAATTCTGTATATTTTATCATGTTCCAGTGTATTTGATTTGTTTGTTTGTTTGTTTGTTGTGGGGCTTGTACTCTGGGCCTGGGTGCTGTCCCTCAGCTCTTCAGCTCAAGGCTAGCACTCTGCCACTTGAGCCACAGCACCACTTCCAGTTTTCTGGTGGTTTATTGGAGATAAGAGTCTCATGGACATTCCTGCCCAAGCTGGCTTTGAACTGTGATCCTCAGATCTCAGCCTCCTTAGTAGCTAGGATTACAGGCATGAGCCACTGGTACCCAGCCCAGTTTTTTTTAGAGCTAGCTTCCTCATATGAGCTTGGCTTACCTCATTTAACATGATTTGTTCTAAATCCATCCATTTCCCTGCAAATGACATGATATTATTCTTTTGGGGGGGTGGGGTCGGGAGGTCTGCAGCTCAAGACTGCAGCCCCGTTTATTTATTTTCTTTTTTTAAATTTTTATTGTAAAGATACTATACAGAGGGTTACAGTTACATGAGTAAGGTAATGAGTACAATTCCTATTGAGCATTGTTACCCCCTCCATTGTTTTCCCCCTACCATCCCTTCCCTCCCTACCTTCCCCGAGGTTCTTTTTTTCTTTTAAATTGTGATTGATTACATAATTTCCCAAATTTCACAGTATTGTGGAATAATGATGCTCATTTAAAGTCACAAGTTCATTCTAACTTTCCTGGAGCAAATTGTCTATCACAGTCTATAACATATAACGGTGTACACATATACACCATACATATGATCAGCAGCATGGGGATATTTAGTAGTGGTTCGACCAGATGAGTGGGAGTTCTTTTTTTCTTAAGTCCTGTTAGTTTTGTCATATCACCTAACATTTTGGATTTAGCAGACATGATATTATTCTAATGGCTGTGTAAAACTCCATTGTGTGTAGGTACCAATTTTTTTTTTTTGGTCCAGTCATCTGCTGTAGGACATCTGGGCTGTTTCCATAACAAAAGAGGTATTTCATTTGCATGACTTAGACTAGTGCTGTAATTCACCTGGTAGATGCAATAGAGGAGTTTCCATAGCCAAACTGTACTTGATCACTTTGACTAGTTTACATTTATTAATGGGCTTATATTATTTTGGTAGTCAATTATAATTAGAAAATTATTTTATAAATTTTTCTTTTTTAATCAGTAAGATTCAGTGCAGGACTACTTTGATGACAGACAATCTTTCAGATCCAAATATACTGCTAATTTCTTTTTGTGTTTGTTTCCATCTTGATTTTCTCATCCAGGGGTCTCCAAAGCCATTTTAGAAGGTGCAGGAAAAAGTGTGGAAATGGAATGCTCTCGCCTAGGTAAGATGAAGTATTGGTAGTTGGGCCTAAATTCTAAGTGGAAAACTGTAGGAGGCTCTGAAGAGACAGAGGAGAATCTTGGGTTAGGGAAGACAACACAATAGTCTTAAATCATGTATTTTATTCAAGCTTTCCAATTAGTACTGTAAGTGGAAAGTGATCTTCCAATGAAAATGAGAAATTATGCCACAATATTCCATCACAATAGTATTTTAGGAGTTTCCTATTCCCAAAACACTTCCTTATAGCAACAGATGGTTTTAACAAAGAGTGGACTCACCATCTAATTTCTTTTCAACTATTTGTGTGTTTGCCAGGTCAACAGGGCAAGCATGAGTATATAATTACTGAAGGTGGATCATTGAGGTGCAAGAATATTATCCATGTTGATGGTGCAAATAATGTCAAGAGATCGGTTTCCTGTGTGTTGCAGGAGTGTGAAAAACGGAATTATTCATCCGTTTGCCTCCCAGCCATTGGGACAGGTTTGTAACCCAAGGAGTCCACTTTCCCATCAGTTTGGTTGTGAGGGAGCATGTGGCTGATAAACACTGAGGTTGAGTGAGTGCCTTGAGACAATGAACAACATGTGTGTATCCTTTAAGTTAAAGAGAGAAGTAGAGAAACAAAGGAACAACAACAGTGGACTACGTGTGCTACCTTGACAGTTAATGATAATGTATGTTGTACATTATCATGTTCTGCTTTTTATGGCTCTTTTGAAGATACCAGTAGCTAAGAAGAAAAGTTACTTGTGTAACTTCCACAACAGGAGAGGAGAGTGAGTTGGCCTCAGCTGACAGGGCAGATATGAAAGTCAGGAACAAAAGTTAAGTTTCAGAGTCGTGTGCTGAGATGCTGGCCTGTGGACATCTGGAATAAAAAATCCCCACTGCATTGCAGACTTCAAAATCAGTTGCTAGGATATTATTAGAAAATATAGGTGGGTAAGAGTTGGGAAGCAGGCATTTATTCTGTGAGAACTGGGATCTATATAATTTATTTCTAAGGGATTTAAAAAAAATTTCAGTTGGATCTTTTCTTTCTCATGTTTTTTATTTATTTAAAATTTATTTGATTGAAAAGATGATGAGCAGGGGGTCACACTTACATAAGTAAAGCTATAAGTATATTTTCTTTTAATCATTTTTACCTCATCCCTCTTTTTCTCTCACTTACCCCTCTCTATTCCCTCCCTCCGGCTTTTCTAGGAAATGCCAACCAACACCCAGATAAGGTTGCTGAGGCCATAATGGATGCTGTTGAAGCATTTATCCAGAAAGGATTGGTCCAGTCCATGAAAAAAGTTAAAGTTGCTGTCATTATGCCCCAAATACTGAATGTGTTTTATGCCAACATGAAAAAAAGAGAAGGATCTCAGGCTTCTCCTCAGCCATCTTTGATGTCAAGAATTGTCTGTGAGTTGTTCATTTTATGAAATGCATATTCCTAATTAATTGTAGGGCATGGGAAATAGCTAATCTTCTTTCTCTCTTTAGCATTTTTAGGCTTTTCTAGGCCAGCTCCCAAAACACAGCATCCCTTGGTTTTGGAAAAGAAAACAGAAGTGACAACTTTCCGAGTATGTGGTAAAGATGCAAGCTCTGTGGACAACACTATCTCCTGGATGAAGAAGCTGATTGAAGAAGAGCAATGTCTCCACACCAGTGAAGATGAGTGTATCAAAGACTTTGGTGTAAAGGAAGTTCAGAAACTGAATGGGCTGCAGAGAAATTTAAATATCAACATTTCTCTGGACCAGACGAGACCTCTGATCAAGATTTTGGGACTTAGCAGAGATGTGATGAAGGCTAGAGATGAAATTGAGGAAATGATCAAGAGCTTTAGATTGGCCAAAGAAAAGGAAAGCCATGCAGAGTCTATCAGTGAATTTATACAATGGCAATATGAGGACAATAGCACTTTTCATAATTTTGACAAGATAACAAATCTGCAATTGGAGCATGCAAGGATTGCAAAAGATAAGAATATTGTTGTCAAAATTAGTAATCAGAACTACACAGTGAACTTGAGCACAGGCACTTGCACAGGTCCAAATGGACAGAGCTTAATGGTTCAGCGCCTCACAAAAACTGAAGGTGAGTCCAAATTTTATACCTGTCAGCCACTACTTTACACCTATATTGGGCTTACCACTATTGTATATAGATCAGATTTTACCATACATGAAATTCAAGTCACCTTAATGAAATCAACTAAAGATCACTGTCGTTAAGTTTAAATAACTCACATTATGGTCAGAAAAGCATAGCCTGGACATGGCTAATAGCCCAGAAAAGGGCCTTGTTAGTAGTACCCTGGGAATTCCTTGCATTTGTTCCTAATCTACAGTTTAGAAGGTTCCCAGACAGTTCTCCTGGGAATATATTGGCTGCTTCCATCAGAGGAGGTGATAGGTTTATAAGGAAAGTGTCCCCGAGTTTTTTGTTGGCTTGTTTTTAGAACACTGCTACAAAGGAATGGAAACATAAAGGACAGACTTTTTCGACAGTGTGGCCCTTTCTGCATGTGTGATAAGTGAGACTCCTGATTCTGTTCCCCAAAGTCACCTCTGGCTTGCGTGGCAGGACACACACACTAAGAAACAAAATGGGGATATTGACTGGGTCAGATCCTCAGGAAAAGAATGCCTGTCTTGAATAGACAACCATTCCTGACTTCTAAGCATATAAGTACCCCAACAAAAATTAGTAACTTGGCTTCCTATACCCTATATTTGTCTCATGGCCATACATGTGAATGAATTCTTCAGATTCTGATCAGCTGTAGGAAAATGGAGACTGATCTTCCTCAACAACATGTCACACACAAAATCTATCACCCATACACCTCTGAAATATGTTTTGAAGAAGAATGAGAAAATACAAGTTGTATGCCCTTTGGTGGAGTTAATGGTAAAGCATTCTGGGAAAAACTATAGCAACTACTGAATGGATGGCAGACAAATAATGTTTTGTTAAGTTATAACAGAGTAGAGGCTGAACAGAAGAGTTATATTCCACCCTTAATTTCCACCTCTTAGCATGATAAAAACTTATGATGAAGACACAGACCTTGCCTTTCTGAAATCCTGATTCCAGGGGTTGGTAGAACACCAGCCAATGAGGGAAAATGTCAGGTATCAAGTTCAAGTCCCATCTCGTACAAAGAAAAAGGAAAAGTAATCTTGATTTAACACATCTGTGGGCATTTTTAGGGGTGGTGGTATTGAGCCTCGTGCATGCCAGGAAATCAATCAACCACTGAGCTAAGACCTTACTTCCTTTTTCTTTTTAAAAAAAACAAACATTTCAGTCAATTCTGACATGGGTTGTCTGTGGTCCATACTTTGAAAAATATTCTCCTAGAAAGCTAAGGAATTTCTTGAACACAGAGAATTAGGAGTTTGTAACTCACGGACACAGATGGTATTCAGTTTGCCAAAGAATACTAGAATTCTCAGGGGATTCTCAAACATCTGTCTTGCAGCTGAAATGCCTATTCACTGGAGCAACATGAAGCAGCAGCATTTGTGTGTGGTCCAGCTGAAACCTGGTGATCCAGAATACAACACTGTGGCAAACAAGTTTAATGAGAGCTGCTCAAACTTTGTCATAGAGAAGGTAAGGCTGCTTGTGATGTAGAGTTTCCTGAATACATTTTCCTATGAATACATTTTCTTTCACTTCCTAGCATGCTTTTATCCAGAATTAGTACTTCAATGGAAATTGGGCTGTAATTTTAATTCTGCTTAAGTCACCATAATTACTGAGACATTAAGTTCTTCTGCTGAGTGCCAGTGGCTCATGCCTGCAATACTAGCTCCTCAGAAAGCTCAGATGTGAGTATCGTGGTTACAAGCTAGCATGGGCAGGAAAGTCTATGAAACTCTTATCTCCAATTAATTACCAAAAAACCTGAAGTGGTGTCCTGGCTTAAAGTAGCATTGATCAAAAAAGCTCAGGGACAGTGTCCAGGCCCTCAGTTCAAGCCCCATGGCACAACAACAAAGAAGTTCTGTCAGTTATTGCAATATGATGTTAGAATACTAAAGACACATCAGATATCTCTTGTGAAACAAAGTAATAAAAATAAAAACAGGGCTTCAAAGTTTGATTTGAATTTTTCTTGTAGTACTTAGCTTTGAATATGTGGCTTCACCATGCTCAGCATGCACTTTACTGCTGAGCTACAATCTGGGTCCTAAAATAATTATTTTGCATTGTTATTAAATTGTAAAACAATAAGAAACAATCTTATAACTTTTAAGCTTGAAAGACTAAATAAGAATAATTTTTAAACAGCTGGGAAGGTGGCTCGGTGGTAGAGCACTTGCCTTGCATGCTCGAGGCCCTGGGTTCGATTCCTCAGCACCACATAAGAAAAAAGCCAGAATGGTGCTGTGGCTCAAGTGGTAATGTGCTAGCCTTGAGCTGAAGAGCTGAGGGACAGCGCCCAGGCCCAGAGTTCAGGCCCCAAGACCGGACCCCCCCAAAAAAAGAGAATGATTTTTAACCATTAATAAAAAAACATTAAGGGAGTTAAGTAAGCAAAATTTAAGTGGAAACAAGATGGAACTAGTTTGGAAAAATGGAATTTTGATGTCAAGAATAGCAGACAAAAGTTGTCGTAAGTCAGACCAGTAAAAAGTATGATAATGTTCAGACTTTGAACTAGAGAGCAAATTAGCAAAATCAAATCTGAACAGCAACGACAGAAAGATTCAGCTGTGGGCAGGCAACAGTATTATATCTGAGAGTTCTCCAGAATGCAAAAAAAAAAAGAAAAAAAACCTAACAGCATGGCATCTTTGCTTTGTACCTTCCCATGAAGTACCCTAGCCTGCTTGACCTACCCACTTCTCCCAGGATATGTGTATAAAACTGCTACATTGGTTGATTAGAGGAGTTTGAAAACTGATCTGTAATCAGGGAACCAACCGTGTTCTACCACAGCCCAGAAGGCCACTCACCAACCAATAGGTGGGCTCAAAGCATGGCCACTACGCCTTTAGCCAGATCCCTCCCCATCAGGATTCATGCCCCACTCTTGCAGCTGAGGAGCAACTACATTCCCATTCATGACTTTGCTTCTTGCCTGGACATTCTCAAGATTAGAACATGGGTAGGTCAACTGCTATCCCAGAAGGACAGAGATGGCAAGAGACAGAGAGAGGTTGTGAAAGAGAGGTGACAATGCCAGGAGCAAGTTCCTGGAGTGGAAGGAAGCAGAGATTATAGAGACAGGGTAAACAAAGTATATATAACAACTACTTTAGATCTTAGACACTTTTGCTCTCACATAGTGCATAAAAGATATTAAAAATTAAACCAACACTTGCTCCAATGCCTGTCTTTATGAAACACTGGATCTAAACACATATGTACATGCATGAAGCTCTTCTCTGCATTGGATTTGCTGTTGAATGTAATTTAAAAAAAAAAAGTAGTGAACATGTTTTGTTTCATATGCCTTGGCAAGTGTTTGTGGCCTTAGCAGAATATTTTTTGTATTAACTTGTAGATTGTAAGGATCCAGAATCCAGATCTCTGGAGTAGCTACCAAGCAAAGAAAAGAGCCATGGATGACAAGAATGGCCACAAACAGAATGAGAGGCAGCTCTTCCATGGGACAGAAGCTGGCTCTGTGCCACATGTCAATACAAATGGCTTTAACCGCAGCTATGCTGGGAAGAATGGTAAGGAAGTGGGAATCTGGCTGCCCTGAATGACAGGACACCAAGCTGCCTGGGGACAGTAGGAATTCACTGTGCTCCCTTGTGCCAGGTGGCCAGTTTGAAGTCCAAGTTTCAGGGTTGGTCTCACTGTATTTCCTTCCAAAGGACCTGCCTCACCCTGTGACTTAGAAATTTTGAGTTTTAGTGGGGAGGGATGGGAAGGGATGGGAAGGGGAAACAAAGGAGGAGGCTATAATGCTTGGTAAGAAATGTACTCATTATCTTGCCCATGTAATTGAAACCCCTCAGTACAGTTTTTTCACAATAGAAAAATAAAAAGAGGGGCTGGGAAG